ATATATATATATATATATATATATATATATATATATATATACACACACAATGTTAGACATTTAGTTATTGTCTTTTCCCATTTGGATCAATGTTTTTATCCTGTGTCCTTAGCTTGTTTGTTTTTGCTGTACACCACTTTGGCTGGCCTTGTTGCAGTTTTAAGTGCTTTATAAATACCATAAAGTGGTATGGTAAATATAGGCCACACTTGTCTATAAACTGCAGGTGTTCACATTGTAACATGAGGGCGGCTGTGGCTGAGTGGTTAGAGCAGTCGACCTCCATTGAGAGAGTTGGAGGTTTGATTCCACCAGCAGCCACATGCTGAAGTGTCCCTGGGCAAGACACTGAACCCTTCATAGCCTCTGATGTGTGTCCCATCTGTGTATAAATGTGATAAAAGAACTGATTAGTCTCTTTAGAATTATTTGTTCAATTAGCTTTGTAGAGATCTAGTAGAGTGTTGTATGAATGGGTAAATGGGGGGGAGTGGTGGTGCAGAGGCTAGAGAGGTGGGCCTGTGATCCGAAGAGCGCCGGTTCACGCCCCGGTAACATCAAAATTGTGGGTGGGGTGGGTGAAACACCCACACTTGCCCCCACTCTCATTCGCCCCACCCTGGGCCCATGAGCAAGGCCCTTAACCCCCACCATGTGCTCCCTAAACAGGTCTCTCTTGAAAAATGAGTTTTCGTGGCTCAATGAGACTACCTGGATAAATAAAGGTAAATGAAATGAGGACACAGATTATAGTGTAAAGCACTTTGAGTATCTTGATTAGATAGAAAGGGACTAGATAAGTGCAGTCCATTTACCATTTATTTACGCAGAAAGATTTAAAAAAAGTTTTGATGAAATATGTACTGGCAATGTACACAAATATGTACAGTAAATGTTTTTATTTATTGCATAATGATAAAGACTGATCCCACTGGAATCCTGAGGGCTGAGATTGACAATATAAACATGTGTATGTCTTACTTTAATGGGTGATGCGTTGATGTAGCCCGTGTTGTTCTCTTTAGTGGGAACCAGCTCCACTCTGTTGTCATCATAGGGAAGAACATCTAGAAAGCGATTTTTGTCTAAATTTTCTGGACAACCAGCGATGGTGAACTCTGCTCCCTGACGATGCTTTGGGACACTCTCGTACTCTTTAAACAGCTCTCCTTTTTCCATGTGCTCCTCCAGCAGCTTACACTGTCATACACAAACAGATCGTCCGTCACATTCATAAACCAAAGCACGGTATTTTATTGAGGTGGATTTACAAAAGAAAAAAATAAATAAATCAAGTGGTTAGAGTTAAAATATAGGTTTTTAAGTCACAACTGAAAAGGCAAACATTAATTTTACACCAAAATATTGTGTTTCACAAAAAAGTGAAAATAAGAGGTTGAAATCAACTTGTAAAAACTTTGTGAATAGGATTATAAATATAATTGCAAGAAAAGATGTCATGAACAGCAGTACAGCGATGTCCCCTGTCCCTGAGGGATTTGAATAGTGAATGTTTGTAGTTTAAAAGGAGTGTTTTTCTGGACTGGAATTGAGCAGGGAAGGCAGGCAAACCTAAATGTTTTTGGTACAAGATATTCAAATGAGTAGGAGGTGCACTGTGGAGAAGAACAAATATAGTTTGCTTTTTTCCTCTGCTTGTCCAAATTGGAAAAGAGTGACGGATCCTGGTGAGTGTAGGAAGCAATTTTATTCACCACCAGGAGCAATGGCGGAGCCAGAGGGTGGCCAATGGTGGCCTTGGCAACCATAGATTAATTTTTGGCTACTCAATTCAATTCAGTTTATTTATAAAGTGCCAATTCACAACAGAAGTCATCTCAGGGCACTGAACAAAAACATTCACATACTTAAAACGCCAACCATTTGCGGAAACCATACTGTTAATAAATATGAAAACTAGAAAGCATAGTTTCCACAAATGATGGGGTGGCTGGTTCTTGTTCACTCTCACATACGTAAATGTACGGCAATGGACGTCTTGGATTTTGACGTGACAAACACATTTTCATAAAGAAACTTTATAACGCCTGGATGTACCCACACACCAAAATCAAAGTTGGTGCCTCACTTATTTTTCTAGTTATCCTGCTCACAACATGCACGGACAGATGGATGACATTTCCAATTCCCCCTCTTTGCAGTGCGACGAGGGACAAAAAGTGCAGGAGTACAATGATTTAAACTTGACTTTCCACTTTCTCTACAACAGAAATGGTTGACCTTACCAAAACAAGAGTTTCCTGAGAACTGAACAAATTCAAGAAATAATCATCTGCTTTTTAAAATCTTGTAAAAATCTACAAATGTATATATTGTGATATTAAATACTACTCTGTACATTATCAGTTTGTCATAAGAGCCTACTTCTTGCTTTACCGTCATCCTTTTCAAATGTGCTTTTATATAAGTGAAATAAAACGATTTTAAAGCTGGTAATAATATAAATCTACAAATAACTCTTGCTGAATTTTCAAGAAATTTAGGGACCTACAATAAGCAACAACTTGATTTAGTAAAAAGTGTTGTAATTTCACTTGTTGTTGTGTTTCAAACTACTTCACTCTCTCCTTGCGTTTCCCTCATAACAGTCTCCACCAGGATCTTAACAACAGCAGCTCCTGATGGTCAACTTTATAACAAACAGAACACGTATTTACTCCGTTTTGAGCCTCTAAGCAAAACACAAAAAGCTACAAATGTTTGTTTTTCAAAAACAAAGTCGGTGACAAATTGAATGGCCTACCTTTTCGTCATTGGATGTTTGCTCAGGCTCGTCTTTGATTTCCTCGTGGACTGGCTTCCTGGACACAGACAGGCCATTGAGACGGGCCATCTTCAGAGGGCCCATCTTCTTCACCTCTGACCTGGAGCTTTTCTTCATCCCCTGATGTGACAAAGCGAAGATCAAGATGAAATTTTAAGAGCGTCAGACAGGAGAAGTGTACACAGAAAAAAGAGGAGGGACAGCGCATGCCTGTTAGGTGTTTACTGGATGAATGTTGCCTTTCTGGTTAAGCAAAGTAGCCTAACTGCATTCTTTGGGTAAGTATCAACCACAACTGGGTAAAGTCTATGACAACACTTCAGTGTATTCTCTCTCTATAAGTTCAAGTTCACATATAATCTCGATAGATGTCGATGAGAAAATTTAAGCAAACACAACAAAAAACAAACTAGAAAAACACCTCTTTTAATGTGGTTCTTCCAGATGTTTCAGTGCAGCAACAAAACAACTGAACTGGCCTTATGATTTCTGTGGTTAGCCATCACTGCCAAAATAAAGTGACTGCCTTATTTTACATTACACAATCTGAGATAATCTTTGGTCTACATTTTTAAAATGCTTTCTATTACCCAATCCTAAAAGTGTGTGTTTGTGTGTAAATGAAACCATGGCCACTTATAAGTACTTTTATTATCCTTTACCTATTGGGTCTACCAATCCATCTAGCCATTATCTTTAAACACTCATTCCTTTCCAAGTCACTGGTGCCAGTATCAAGGAGTCAACTGAGAGGTCGGGGACACCTTGAACAGGTGGCACGTCCATCACAATGCCACAAATAACCATTCACACTCTCACTCATACTTGGAGTCAGAGTTTCTTTATTTGTCATACACACCACATGTGGTACATGTGGTGGAATGTAATTTGTGTACACAGGGTCCCAGTTACATCCAACAATAAAATGTAAAAGAAAAACAGCAATAAGATCTAAGATATGAACTAAGAAAAACATTAACTAAAAAAGACACTAAGCACTAGTAGTACAAAAACAATACACCGAACATGAGTCTGTGTGAGCAGATGAATATGAATGAACACAACAGCATGAAACGGATGAGCAGCAACATGATGAGATTTTTCACAGTGATTATTCTGGTTAGAGATTCATGAGTCTAACAGCTAAGTGTGCTTGAGGCTGGCTATCAGCAGCTACTGTCTGGATGATGTATCCCTGGCTGATTCCATTCAGTGCAAGTCATCAGAGTCAAGCAATGACAAAAATGTACAGAGTTGTATTTTGCAATATAGGTTCATGCAGATATGCAAGGTACATCAACGTGTATTGTACAAATAAAGAACACTTAATATGTTGATAAATAAGTATATGTTTTGTATTTTTATAGTACCATTAGGTACATCACTTTGACTTGGTCATTTTAAAAGTAGCTCCCATGCTGAAAAAGTGTACGCACCCCCGATTTAGAGTTACCAAGTGACCTAAAATGTATGTTTTTACGCTATGAGAGAAACTGACTGACAATATAGACTGTACTAGGTCTAAATTTATAGTAAATGGAACGTAATTATATAGCACCTTTCTATCTTATTTCAAGATACTCAAAGTGCTTTACACTACAATCTGTGCCTCATTTACCCATTCACACAGCTCTCTACTAGATCTCTACAAAACTAATTGAACAAATCATTCTAAAGAGACTAATCAGAGCTTTATCATATTCATACACTGATGGGACACACATCGGAGGCTATGAAGTGTTCAGTGTCTTGCCAAGGGACACTTCAGCATGCGACTGCTGGTGGATTTGAACCCCCAACTCTTGCATTGGAGGACGACTGCTCTAACCACTCAGCCACAGCCGTCCAAAATATCATTTCTACGCATCTCCAGTAAACACCTGCGCTCAGAAACAGTAAACTTTGCATTTTGACATGGACTTTTCATTTCCACTTCTCATTTTTTATTGCCAGTTTACTATTGTGATACTGTAAAAAAACAGGTTTGAGTTAAAAAAATTTAAAAAATCAAAACAAAGAAATAATCTAAGAACCAGACTCACCGGCGGGGGTAAACCATCTCCTGTTTTCCTCCCAAGAAGCATATCAGACACATCAAGCCTCTTCTTAAAATCTTTTTTGGGCTTATCGTTGGTTTGCTCAGTCACATCTCCTTCTGACACGGAGGGCATAATTTCAGGTTGTCTTAATTCAGACAGCAGGTAAAGGGGCTCGCTCTTATGGATCAGAGGATGAACTTTATAGATTAATGAGCTTGTTATGGAGGGGTCCAGAGAAGAGCCTATGGGATAGGCAGGGGGAGGTTCTATGGGAGTCTGCTGTGTTGTCAAAGAAGAAAGGGAAGTCGAGCTGCGATGCTGCTGTGGCGGCTGCTTGGGAATAATATCTTGAACAGCCTCCTGTGAAAGTGGAGTGTGACACCCATTATCGTCCTCAAATTCCTCCTCCTCTTCTCCACTACTGTGAACTAACATTGTTGCATCAGAGATGGACTTTTTGTGCCCGTACTTTACATTTTCTTTAATGTCCCCTCTCTCTTCTGTTTTTGTATGTTCTAAAAACACATTAAGCTGGGAACCCTGAGAGGGACCAGCATGTACTCCTGCAGGCGGGGTGGCTGTTTCTGTTGCTGAGGAAGACACAGTTCGTTCATTGACCCTCACTCCCTCAAGACTGTGAGCTATGCCAGCAATCTCAATCGAGTTACGTTTCTGAGTATGATATGGCTGCCGATGAGGAGGCCCGCTGAATAAAGGCTCAGAGACCTCTTGTAAAGAGTGTGCAACAGGTAGACTGTCTTCCTGAAAGGTCTGAACTGAGTGATGCACACGTCTTGTGATGATCAAGTCTGGATTACTACTGCTGACATACAGGTGACGTGAAAGATCAGGTGTGCTGTTAGCAGGACGAGGATGGGCATATGGGTAGGGTGGAGGTGGTCTGTAAACCTGTGTTCTCATGATGTTGGTGGCCGGATACTCTTGTGCTTGCTGTAACTGGACATTTGTGAGTTCTGGGACACTGACTGCCCCCACAACAGGCCTGCGCTCCACTGGGTAGGGGTATGGAGAAGGGCTGTGGAAGCTGGAGCCCAGATGAAATGGATAGTGGTGATGATAGGATGTTCCACCATGTTCTACCCTTATCTCTGGTTGACTGTAAACTAGAGGGTCTGGTCTGCTGTAGGCATACGAGTTTCCAATATTTAAGTTCCTCATGGAATGACTCTGCCGATGCTCTTGAGATAAAACCATTCCTCCCCCCACACCTCTGGTTTTTTGGCGCATCACTGTTTCATAATCAGGCGTGGCACGATAGGAGGGTGGGATGACAGCGCTGTGGCGATGGGAGGGAACATAATCTGGCCTGATGATGTCACTGGTGATAGAGGGGTTGGAGGACATGGGTGATGGCTGGAGGTAGTGCTGGGGGTTGGTCAGAGAGCTGGTGCTGTGGGCACTGTACACGCTGCCATTACGCAAACGCCCTCCACTGTTGTATTCTAGAGGAGAGTGGTCCAGACTGGTCTGAGAGTGGTAGTAATACCCATTCTGCGAGTTCATGTACAGGTTGTCTAAGAACAAAGAAAACACCACAAAATAGATGAACAAAAACCTTTTACCATTACTATATGTAGACATATATTTCCAAAGGTTTTTTTCACTGAAATAAAATGTCTTAATTAGCACTTACCTTGTGATGATGTGTAAGGCTCCGTGAAATGACCATTGTAGTGCATTTGTGGAGGGGCCATCATGTAGGCTTGTGGCTTTGGCTGTAGAGCAACAAGAGAGGGACTCAGAAGTGCTCATATGATTCAAAAACTCTTCAGGGGTTAAGGCAACAAAGAACCAAAAAGTTAACATAACTGTAATTACCATCTGATGTCAGATAATTCCAACAAAGACCAACAATTTAGTGGGGTATTATATGCACAGGAATGTGATATTCAGCACAGTGAATTTGTTGTAGAAGTGTGAACTGAGGGAACAAAGACATTACCAAAGATATTCTGGTAGAAGACCTTCGTCTGACTGGGTTGACAGCTGTAGGTTGGCTTTGGCTGGTTGAAAAAAGAAGTCAATTAAAACTTTAAATAATTTATTTTTTTAAGTGCTTATCAAATGTATTTTTATTACCTTACTTTTTATCTAAATTGCAAGCTGAACCAGCGCAAATTTAGCCAAACATACTGTACCACTCTTTTTCCAGTTAACCAGAAAACGTTTTACCCAACCCACCAGGAAGCTGCACAGTTCAAAGTCAATATCGTACAAGCATGCTGTGGTGTACAGAGACCAGACTTATGCAAAATTTTTACGTTTGAATTGCAGTTTTGTCTCCAAATTCCAATAATTTCCTTAAACCTGGTGTAAAAAAACTAAACAAATCAAAATGTGTTTTAAACTTGTTGCAGTCCTCGTTTATATTTGACAAATCATATTATCAAAGAAAAAGTAGAGTGATCCGACTCTTTTTTGCATCAGGTTGACCCTGTTGATAGTTTGGAAGTGACAGTCAGTATTATTGTAAGCCAGAATTTATGTTTTTCTTTCTGGAACCAAAAACTCCAATTAAAATGTTGACCTCAGTATATTGGCTTCAGGTAAAACTAAAATTTAAAACTAGGTCTTAAAATTACAAAAAAAAATTGGATTTCAGAAACTTTTTATACATTAGACCTACAGTAACTACAGAGAGTAAATTGGTGGTGGCATTAGGTGGATAATAGTACACTGTAGGTGGTGGCTGAAAGATTTGCTCACCCCTTATCAGAAGGAAGAGAGGTACGAGAGAGCATTGGAAAACGAGGAAAGGACAGAGTGAGAAGGGACTTCTGGGAGCTCTCAGAGGGCAGGGGGCTATACTCCTCTCTGAAGAGAGGAGGAGGAGACATGAGGCTATAACAAGATGATGTACAGAAGACAGCAAGGGATAAAGAGACACAAAGTAGGCTAGAAGTGTTAGCAAACACTTACAGGCTACTCTTGTTAATCTTATAAAACTTGAGTCTGGCAAGACACAGCCGGCATACATATTTAGAGGTTTCCATGTCTTCCTACACACAAGAAAACAACAGAAATATTGAATTGGTGAGACAGTCTGCACAGATTTAAGTTTAGTTATTTGAAACAGAAGCGTTCGTGTATGAATTAAGAAAAAAATTCAACATTCTTCCAGATAAATGGTATGTAATTTCATGACAAAAACACATCCAAGTAACTTCCACTCACAAAGAGGCATTCAGATAGGCTGGTGGTCAAATCTATGACAAGTGCAAAATGCCAATTTAGCTAAATCAAATAAAAGACAACTATGCTGATGATGATGGGATAAGAAGAGGCAGACTTACGGTCTGAAACTGAACACTCTCCTCTCTGTTGGCCAACTCCAGGGCAAAGAAGGACCTATTGTGACTCATGTTGTTAATTTCATGCCACCTACACAGTCCATTAACACGATGGCAAAACGAACAGGAGAAAAAAACAAAACACAATGTTGCTGCAGTCCAACAAATTGGGACAATGATTTCATTCCACATAAATAAAAAAAACATACAGAAGTGGGAGCCAGTATTCTTCTAAAAATAATGCTGGAAATGTACAAAACAACTTGAAATATTTTTTCTTACTCATAACCCACAGTTCCTATCTGCTATCAACCTGACTTGCTCTTTTAAAATTTACCACCTTTAGTTGAACAAATAAAAAAAATAAAAATTAAAACAGCTATAAACTTTGCTACAGTAGTCCCTCGCTTATTGTGGGGGGTCCGTACCCTGAAGACTAGTGATAAGTGAAAAACCACCAAGTAGGAATAATAGTACAAGTAGTAATTAGTAGTTGATTTTAGTTAGTATATATATATATATATATGATATGGCAGCACGGTGGCGCAACTGGTAGAGCTGCTGCCTCTCAGCGAACAGGTCCCTGGTTCAAACCCCGGTCCAGGGGCCTTCTGGGTGGAGTTTGCATGTTCTCTCCGTGCATGCGTGGGTTTTCTCCGGGTACTCCGGTTTCCTCCCACAGACCAAAAACATGCATGTTAGGCTGATTGGTGACTCTAAATTGTCCCTAGGTGTGAGTGGGAGAGTGAATGGTTGTTTGTCTCTATGTGGCCCTGTGATGGACTTGCGACCAGTCCAGGGTGTACCCCGCCCTTCGCACAGTGATTGCTGGACATGGGCACCAGCGACCCCTGTGACCCAAAATGGAATAAACGGGTAAAGATAATGGATGGATGGATGGATATATATGATATATAAAGGTGTTTTAAACCCTTCCCACACTCTTGCAATATTCTAAGCAATGTTTTTAAACTCTAAACGCTCTAAAAGAGCACAGAATGTCATGATTTCAGCTCTCTGCCTCCTCTGCTCTTTGCAACTGCAAGCGCTCTTGGCCACGCCCACTTCTCCACTCTGCATGGGGAACAGCTGATCAGCTGCAGGAGGAAGCTTTTTCTGCAGCTCTGGGCTGCACAAATGTGCAGCAGGTGCTAAATAATTTTAAATAATTTATTTTAAATAAAAATTCCACGCCAATTGTGCAGCTCATCCATCAATCAGCCAATTGTGTGTCATGTCCAATCTTATTTTGAAAAACCGTGATAGGGAGAGTCCGCGATAAACGAACCGCGAAGTAGCGAGGGACTACTGTACATAACTTTATCTCTCCTTAAAGGTTTCTGTACTGCCATTAATGAAAAAGAGGTATAAAGATACATAATATATTTGATCTCAAGGCTAAGACATTCTGGAAATATGAGGTCTTAAACATTTCTGAAATCTAAAATGTCCACATTTATTCTAAACTTACCTAAACAATAGAGATGGACGTCCATTTTTATATTTGACAAAGATACCATCAAGACAGGATCCCAAGGTAACATCTGTGCCTGTACTGTCCTGATCTCACACAAAAATAAAATATATTATTTTCTTATTCTACCAACTAAATGACATTGATCTTAGGGCTGAAGGGAACTACACATGGAGCTTGTAGACCTACCTTTGCTTGATAGCTTTCCTGGCCATAGCCTTCCATTTTCTCCACCTCCTGCATGTACAACGTTTCTGCCTCTGAGGCTGGCAAACCTCTGAAAAGAACATCGCAGAGAAAATATGAAAACCCTCTGATTATGGGGTTTACAGGGTAGTAAAGGGTTTCTGTGGCATAGGTAACAAAATCAACAATAAGTTTTTATTGACAACTTCAAACTGGTTTATAAATCTTTGTCTTTTGATCAAACACGAACACACACTCACCTAAAGGACTGATAGCGGAGTGCCACTTTTTGTGTGGCCTCTTCCAGCACCTGTTCATCCTGAATCCAATTCTGCAAAGACCGAACAAGGTTGAAATACTTATCCAAATCAACACACAAAAAACAAACAAACAAACAAAAACCACAAAAACAACAACAACAACAACAACAACAACAACAACAACAACAACAACAACAACATGATTTATGACTTGTGCAAAGCAAACAAAATAAAATGCTTACTATAGGAAACAGTGCAAACTTCTGAAGAAAATCCTGGGAATCATATTGACTGAAGTCCCCAAAGTCCGCTGTGGATAAAGACAGAAGGATGCTGCTAAGAACAGGTACATAAAGCAAAGCAAACACATTGACAATACTTTCCTGACAACTCTTTGCAACTATTTCAAGGAAGGCATTGTGGAACTGCAGTACAATGTCTTTTGAGAAGCTAGAGTACATGAACACACGATGGTCTAATTTTAGAAAAGGAGCAATCTACGCTATTTCTTTTGCTCAAGCTTTTGCCAACACATTAGCCCAAAACTGTAACAGATTCAGGTTGTCTTTTGTAAACAGCTACAGTACTTAGTATTCCAGGCATGAGTAGTGCCTAAAAGCTACAAACGGCCTTCACTCCAGGCAGCATTCAAAACATAAACAAAAGCTACACAATAGCAAATTGTTCAAGTTTCCATATGAAAATAAAGAGATAATAAATAAAAAAACATGCAATTTACTCTTGAGACCTATCTTTATGGTACAAACTGAATGGTAGTTGAACAGAACAGCATCAACAGTTTGTTCATTTGTTCTAAGCCAATGTCCAGACTAGTAAGTTGTGATGTGTGCTATAACTGACTGCAGTGTGTGAGCATGCTGCATAATAATAATATAATAATAATGTCATCACAATGTCAGCACTGTATGTTTCCATACAATGGCAAAATTAGTCTCTGCATTTAACCCATCCACCACCAGGTGGTGCAGTGGGCAGCTATTGAAAGCGCCTGGGGGACATTTTGGGGATGAGATGTGCTGCCCAGAGACGCCATGTGATGTGCAGTGACTGGGGATCGACCCTGGGACTTTCGGGTCCCAAGCCGGCTGCCCTGCCTCTACACCATCTTGGCCCCCATAATAAAATATTCAAACATTATTCTTTATATAAACTGTTGTAAGCATCAAATGCAAAACTTCGTAAAAAAAAAAAAAAGAAAGTATTTTGGACAGTAGAAAAAAAAACAACACTGCACACATCGGTCAAAAATCACCACGTTATACAAGCTAAACATGCTGACACAGGGTTGGTATGACAGACTTTCACATTTACCTTGCACTGCGAAGCTCGCTAAACGTATGGCTTGGTCCAGGGAGCAGGAGATTCTGCCCTCCAGAACATCTTTCTTCAACTGTAAGAAATACTGATATCTGTGAGAAAGAAGTAATTTATTAGGGGCAGAAAATGGTAACATGTGAGATCCTAATGTGTTTTTATTTTGTTAAAACCTGTAAAATCAACACACTGACACCACCAAACCTTCAACTTATCATTGTGCTAAAATACTATTTAAAAAAAAAATGATGCATTTGTACCACTTTTTTGAAAACTGTACTTTTCATACAATGTTTTCTAAGATAAATCCTGTAGTTACAGAACAAATAGAGGTAGGAGTGATGGCGAGTTCACCTTGTGATCTCCTGTTGCAGCTGGGTGACACTGGGTATGTAAAACAAGACTCCAAAGTAAACGGTGGGCTCGGAGCCATACTTGTCCAGCTGTTTCTTCAGCGCCTTCTCCAAGTCGATCCACCTCTGCTGGTTTTGTTTATTGCAATACCAAAGACTGAAATATGTGATCTGAGACGTAAAACAAAACAGGAAGATCCTATAAGTTCTGGCTGCACAATCTGACAATTAAAAGATTTTTCATAATTACAATCTTTTTACACCTTAGTGATTTTTATCATGAGGTCTTGTTCAACATAACATTAAAGCTACAATTAATTTATAATTCTGTCATAAATAAAGGCAATGCATACTTACCAAAGGGTTTTATAACATATTTAACTTGAGAAATTAGTGATAACATTAGATCTTTCTTATTATAAGTGTTCATTTCCACAGCTCTTACTGAATATCCACCTTATTCCTTGGGGGCTCTACTGTATAAATAATTCTGGTACAACTTCCTGTCAGACAGGAAGTAGCAGTAAGCACTGGTTAACCATGGTAGCAGAGCACAGACCACAGTTTATTTGAAAGTAATTTTCATCCAGTTTAGCAGATAAAACACTGTTTTTGTTTTGTTTACATTATTAACAACCATAAAGTTTACTAAAATAGCCGTGCTGAGTTCAGATACTTGTTGTGTTCATGGCTGCAGAACAACCAGACCAAACTAAATCAGTGACTACAACAGAGTTTTTAACACGGACCCAAAGCAAAAAAAACAAAAAAAACAACAAAAAAAGAGAGTTCCTGTGAAAGAGGTACAGTTTCCATCTCCTACCTACAGATGAGGAAATAAGAAGAATGTAGCTGAAAAATGTGAACTTGAACAGACCACCCGTATGTGAACTCATTTCACTTTGTTGACAAACGGCCGATGGAGGAAAACCTGCATCCTACTTTGTGTCTGGACGACAATAAACCACCGGAGAAGAGACGCCGGATCCTCAGAAGGATTGAAAACAGTGACGAGAACATTAGAGATGATTTCAAGTGTATGGAGGACACAGATTTGTAGTATTTGTTTGTCTTCTGTATTACAATTTTGCGATTAATTTTCTCTGCAATTAAGCCAAGCTCAGTGATGGAGGACTTTAAGTCTTTGGCCGAGCTCTGTGTCTGCTTTAAGGTAAGATCTACTGGTATGCCCAAATTTCTAAATCAGAATTAACAATGTTATTAAATGACAATCAACCATTTTGAAAATGAAAACTCACTGAACAAGAGCCAAAATGCAAATGTGTGAGCCTTAAACATATATTTTACAGCTTATTATTGTTGGGCTGAAAAATTATGACTAACAAAAATCTAAAAAATATAAAATAATAAATAAATAAATTAAAAATTAAAAGCCCATTTAAATAAAGGCTGCATGATATTAGGAACACTTGAAGTGCAATATTATTGTTTATCGCTAGGGCTTTAACGGACTACTTGAGTAATCGACAGGTCGATTCCTAGGACATCTATCGAGTTTTTAAATTTCACGTTGAGTATTCATAGTGAGGTCATTACGTTGCCGTTACGTCATTGCATCACGTCACGTGATCTTCACCGGGCGCGGACTATAAAATAGATTCCTCCAAGCAGACGGAATGAGTGGAGCAGGCCCAGTCTTGGCAAACAGGTAGAAATGCATTAATTGTATGGAAATATTTCACTTAAGATTAATCTTCCGGTTCAACTACCGTAAGGAAACAGAAAATTAATCAACCTCCTGATTATTTGGAGCTCGTTGTAAACTGGTGTTAAACCATATTCTGTGACCAACGTATATTGTGACCGTAGGGGGCGGTGTTGCATGCACTGTTGCAGGTCACAGAATATGGTGGAACACCGGGTCCAATCGACCAAACCAGAACCAGCTTCCTCTGACAATAGCTATGTTTACATGCGCAACATTTTTTGACCGGATTGAAATGTTTTCAGATTAAATAATTCAAATGTATTGTTTACATGGGCACAATCTGTTCATGACGAGCGTTTACATGCAGCGGGCTTTGTTCTGATCAGCAGTACTGACATGCGCAGAGTGGTAAACTCGCCTTAAAAAAAACACAGAAGAAGAAGTTCTACTTCCGGGGTGAACGTAAACAAACCTGAGCACCCAAAATGGACCTGCGACATGTTTTAATGACGGTGGAGACGTTACTGCACTCCCTGGCTGAGCTACAGGTAATAGAAATCATTTTGAGCTCTTTCAAAGTTTCTAGTAGAAATGTTGTGTCGCTCACCGACCAGTTTTACTTCCCTGACATGCTAATATTATTAGCATTAGCCAGGCGGAAATGGCAAAGTCGCACATGCGCAGTCAGGTCAGTTTTTCACGATCAGATAAAAACAAACAGATCAAGCGTTTACATGCGGGTTACAGATTGGCGTAAACCACCCGTTTCGTTCTGATCACAAATTATAACGGATCGCGCCGAATACAAAAAAATAACCCAAACGGAGTGTTTACATGACACACTTTTATTCCAACCGGCCATTTGATCCGGTTACTTTTGTCCATGTAAACATACCTATTGTTTAGCAAACAAAAAGCAAAAAATATTCATCTCCACACCTATAAAAAAGCTATAAACATATTAATCTCCAAAACTAAACCTAATGCGCAACACTGCGGGCGGTGGTGTGGGGTGGTCGTCCGCCACACTATTGTTAAGTTTTGTTTTTTTTGTGCAGCATGTTTCTTTCACTTTTACAGCTTAATAATAATAATAACTAATAGTTTTGGTTTTCCTGTGACTTATTTGCAGTATGATAAATGGTACGAGCATAATATATGTTCCCAATGTTTTGTTGGTCTTTTAAAAAAAAAATTTAATAATAAAATTATTTTTTTGGTGGTTTTATTTATTTATTTTTGCACCTTGAGATCTTATGACATCATCAACTACTCGAGTTTTATTATGTTAATGTCGAGTTGAAAAATGATGCAGTCATTCAACCCCTATTTATCGCGATAGCAATATCAATTCAATTCAATTCAATTCAATTCAAAAATACTTTATTAATCCCAAAGGGAAATTATTTGTTGTAACTCATTATCCTCATTTCATTAAGAGATGTTATAGATGCTGATGGCTGTAGACATGAAGGATCTCTTGTAAAGGTCCATCCCACAGTGGATCCTAAGAAACTGGCTGCAGATGCCGTCCGATCCGTCCACCCAAACTCGGCTGGCCTCTCGGTTCCCCCGGTCTGTAGGACCGCCCAAATGCCGGGCAGAACTCCTCCCAGAGCGATGGCCACTCCTCCCAGCAGTCTGCCGAGCTCCTCGTCGCTGCGGACAGTCAACTGTAGGTGCTGAGGGACGATCCTGTCCTTCCAATGTCATGAGCCGTGTTTCCTGCTAGTTCCAGGATCTCAGTGGTCAGGCACTCGAGCACAGCTGGCAGGTAGATGAGAATGCGTCCACAGAACATCCTTTCAACTCATTTGAGATTTGTGGCTGTAGTTGAGATATTATTTGAGCTTTTGAGATGTTAATCAGCTGCTGTTGGTTGTAGAAAACTGCCTTGTTGCCATGGTTACGGATCATAACAAATGTCCAAAACTATAAAAATTTCAGTAAAAATCCTTCCAGCTGCACAGCATCCGATACCAGAGGAAACAATCATCCAAAACATTTGATTTACATCCAGAAAAAGAGGAATTAGTTTCCAAAATCAAAATCTCACGATGAAAGTAACGGAGCTGCTCCAACATGCAGCCACCTTGAGCGGCGCAATGTGTCTGAGAAACCCCATATTTCTCTCACTTTATCTTCCATCACTATAATTGAGCATCGTTGTCAGTCAGTCTCTTGAAAAAAATATATTTTAGCATGAACATGAATGGTCTAAACAGTCCTTTGCAAAAATGATATTGCACTTACTGATATTACGATGACAATAAACTTGCAATATACTGTGCATTACTGTTTTAAATGCTTCATTCCCTCAGGTGGCAGTTTTCTGACGTTCCTCTTTTACTTTGTGTTTGACTTAAAAAAAAATTAATTCCAGTGAGCAATTGTAGTTCTTATTTTTCTGGAAAAGAGATAGATCTTAGCTTTAAACTTTGCTTTCTGATGCTGGATTGTACAGAAAGACAACTGAACATGTTTTTAGGCAGTGAAAAAATTACTGTTGAACTCAGGTCATTTCATTATTACTAAACACAGGTTAGTCTTACTTTCATTTCATTTCAGAAACTATGAACTCTGAGGAATCTAATCTGGTATATAGATTGTAAACATTGGGTGATTTAATTTTAAATTTAAAGACCTTTTGAATTTAATATTTAGGAAAACTAGTTGTTCCGAATAGAACTAAAACTGATGTGGAAATAAACGTTTTAAAGTCTTCCAGCAAGCCGCTTTAGGAATATTTTAATAACAGAAATATTCTTAAAAACATTTAGATAAATTTCAGTATGAGGTACACAAGAAAAAGGGCACAAAGAGAAACAAACTAGACCAAAAAGATCAGCCTGAATTGTAACAAAAGTAGAAAAAAAAAAAAGATAAACAATTAAAAATCTGTGCTACTTTTAACCATTGTTTTTCATGTTTTCTTTGTGGTTTTAGTCTCAACAAAAAGCGTACTAAATTTATTTCCTACGATGAAGTCATGTGCACTATAAAATCTGCATATTCCTAATGTGCTGGCAAGAAGGGCCACAACTATGAAAGGTGTTATATAAAGTAAACAAGACAAAGTGCTTGTTTTTGTCAATGATGTTTGACTTCATTTCAATAAGGAATGTGAGCAGAAGACAAACTTAACCACTTTACTGCTGAGATAGCAAGACTTCAGAGCCTGTAAAGAACAATGAGCACTTGTATTGAATGAAACTCATACATACCTCTCTTAACTCCAGTCTCTGGGCTACTGCCTCCAAACATTCCTGCCCCGTGCTCTCCACGGACAGAGTAAACTCCACAAAGTCTCCATTGAGAAGCTGAATCCGAGTGACAAGACAGCTCTTGCTTGAAACTGTATACCTTCGAGTCCTTTTGAGTTTAAAGCCAAATGGTAAGGGCATGGCTCACACGTCTTGCAGAGGAAATGGTCTCCACCTCTTCCAGAGAAACGACTGTTCTCCCAGAATCTGTGAGAAGAGTTCAAGTCATGAACAAAAACATACCGAAAACACGAGAAAACCCGAATCCAGTAGTTTCAGGGGATACTACACACCACACAGACATGAGTTAGGTTTGCTCGTACTCATTACTAAAATATGTTACAACGCTTCTACATTATTTGACACACCTGACAGAGGCCATAAACACATGGTTTCAAGTTTTATACTTTACCCATTGACTTCAGTTCATCGTGTTTTTACTTATATATTGAACACTGTAGGAAACTGTATAGAAATACATTTAAATTAAACCTTGATCTCGGTTACCACGATTTTGCTGGTTACTTTTCTAAGCTTGTGGTCAGATAATCCCCTACCAAGGAATAGCCAGGTCCAAACACAGAGCGACTCGATTCGACAAGCAACAACTGCAAACGCTTTACTTTGCTCGTGAAACCACATTTCAATTGCTATACCATTTAATTCGTGTTACTTTATAAAACTTCCCCACAGCGATTGATTTTCTCCAAAGTACTGGCAACGTTTCGTTTGACTTAAAAAAAAAAAAACAGTTAAGTTTAGCTACAGTGCTAGGCAGCTAACTTTCGCTCCAGTAAATAGACGACACCCTCGAGAGGCTGACGTCGCTCGTAAATATTTTGGGAGAAAGAAAAAAAAAAACACATTACCGTTAGCCAGAAGATGAAATTTAGTATTCCAGCCAGTGTTAAAAGTTTTGACTATTCCGTCATAATGATAAAATGGATAAGAGCTTTATAGATAATTAGAAGCTGCGGGAGCTTCTTTGCCTGTAGTTTGTCTCCAGATCTAAATTAACCAGGCAGCTCCATGTCTGTCCGTCCAACTGTTCACTCAAGTTCCAAGCGTGTTTCTCTTCCTGGGATTGGAAGAGCAACAAGTGTATTCCGTCTCCATCCGCGAAACTATATTTTGTATTATTTCTTTTTCAGCTCTTACTTACCTCCAGAACTAAAGTCGAAAAAACTGCAACTCTACAATAAAATAGTGTAAGCTTCATACTTGACTGTATTGTTACAAATATAACGCTTTTTAAAGTCATTGTAGTGCCCCTCTGGCGGAGGAATACATCGGTGTTTTCAGTGCCATGACATCAGACAGCTGGAATGCTGAGCGGTGAAAATGCCAGAAATGAGACAGCTGTCACGAACTGCTGGCCGCAGACATGTTTGTTTACCTTTTGCATCGATTCACTGGATAACTATAATCACCTACAAATGACACTGAGCAATATTTATATTTATTTGCAATGTTATTCAAGACGTGACCCTGAAAAGTAGTGATAGTGTTTGCCTTATTGCTGTTAATGCCAAGTTGGAATAGTTTTTTTTATTTAGATTTCATCCACTAAATGAAAATGCAAAGAAAAAAGAATTTATTTCAATTAAAAGACATTATCTGGTGAAAGACAGTTCTTAGTCACTGCATGTCAGAAGTGAAACACCTGAGAATAGTTTTTTTTTAATTACTTAGTTATTTAAAGTTGAAAAAACTGCAATGAACAGCAACATTTCATTGAAGACTTGAAAAAAAGTTAAAACATCAAAAACATGGGAAACAGTGAGTGGTTTTAAATTGCTACAGCCTACTGTTTTACAACCTTTGAAGAACCAGACAATAAAAGCCTCCAACCCTGAGTGCAGCAGCATTTAGAAATCATCGTCACTGGCAGAGCCAGCACTGTTTGCATCCGGTTCACTGGCAGTTTCCACGGCACGTGTGCTTCTGGATACATGTAATATCTCTGACAAGTTGCTTCCCAGATCCTCAAGCTCTTTGATTTCTCTTTTTAAATTCCCGTCCTCTTGATTCAGATCACTGTTTATATTGGAGGAGTCGCGGTTGTCATCAGCTCTGGTTGCAGCTGCATCTCTCTGATGGAAGCCCTCCTGACCGTCGTCTTGGTGATTAAGAAATTCATCTCTGAGTGAAGCTGAGTCATCATCGTCGCCATCGTTCTTCGTCTCTTCTCCAACTACTGTGGTTAAAGGTGTATTAGGGGAACTTAAGGGAGTAGAAACCAGTAAAGGATGATCACAATGTGACAAATCCCAGTTATTAATCAGTGGCTTGTGAGTTAAAGGGTCAGTGTCGTCTTTAGTCTTCACTTGTTTCCTCTCAAACTCCAGATGTGAGAACATTTTATCAAGTGAATCAGTTTCTGTTTTAGAGGGGGGCGTGTTGGGTGGCTCTTCCAGTTCTTTGCAGAGCTCTTCCAGAAGGTGGCGCATTTTACCCTAAAAACAACATGAGAAAGTCCTCAACAGCGTGCACGGCCCTGTGCGCTGGAGCTGCCAGCATCTCTCTCTGCTGCAACTGTTGAAGACTAGATGGTGAGCAGCATTTGCAAAGGGGGTGTCCAAACAGTTTTCCTCAAGCGAAGCATGCGGTTTTGTCTCTTGACTTTTTAACATGCTCAAACATACAGAACTCAGTGACTGCAACTGAAAATGTTCCTTTTTCACAATTTTGACTCACCAACTAGTCCTGAACAGCCACACTCCAATAAAACACTGCCTTAATCATTACAGTCAATACGTTTTCCTTGCTAGGACAATGAAAATAAAAAACAGGGTGCCCAACAACAAAGATACTGCGACTGTTTTCTTGTATTTATAATGTAAAAAATAAAATTCTTCCTCATTTTAGATTTTAGACATTTGTATTTTTAGACAAAGCAAAATCTAATGGAAATACTAATATTTTTCCATGATAGGTTTTCTATTCTCCATCTTTTTTCCAAATAAATAGCAGACTTTTAAATAGACTTTGTGGGAACCCTGTTCATGTATTTGATCATAATCATGAAATTATAGGCTTACCTCATCAAGTCGATGCAGGTTCATGTCAATATGACGTGTCATCACCCGGTCTATCGTGCTTTTACAGAATAAAGATAGCTTGAGTCATGATTTCAAAAGAAGATATTTAAAATCACAATCAACAATAACGAAGCGCCTGGTGTACCCAGGCTGTAAATGTGTTTAAGACACTGAAGCACTCATTTATAAATTTCAGGTGGTTCATAGAAGAAAAACCTGTTCGAGACGTGCCCTCTGGACAAGATGTCTTCTGTCACCGTTGCAATAAATTCAAGATACATTAACTCTTCATCCCTGTCAAAAAGAAAAAGAAGACGATAATTCAATTCATAACTTGTTTTAAGTTATATTTAAGATTTATGAAAGTTTTAACTTGTCAAATCTGTACAGCGATGGCATGGAGAACTCACTCTGCAGAGACGCCGCTGTTACTGAGAGGTTTCTTGCTTTCAGGTGAGATCCTGAAGTGTGAGACACATTTTTAGGATTTGACTCTAGATAACATGGAGTAACTTACAGAATAAAATGCTAACTTCCAGTTTGACTGCATTAATTCACCTGGACGTGGAGCCGAAAAGATTATTTTCTCTCTTGGGTTTAAAATCCTGTTCACCTGATGGTGGTAAATTTGTGCAGTTGATCTCATCTTCCAGCCACTCTGTAGAATATTCCTGTTCAACAAGAAAATGAGAGGGTGCATTTAATCATGTCTACATGAATCTTCATATTTATTTTGTTATTCAAGTTTTAGAGTCATGCTCAAATGATAAATGGACTGTACTTATATAACACCTTTCCATCTTATCCAGACACTCAAAGCTCTTTACAATCTGTGCCTCATTTACCCATTCATACAGCTCTATACTAGATCTGTACAAAGATGAATCAGTGATTTATCACATTTATACATCAATGGGACACACATCAGAGGCAATGAGGGGTTCAGTGTCTTGCCCAGGGACACTTCAGCATGTGACTGCTGGTGGAATTGAACCCCCAACTCTTACAGTGGAGGACGATTGCTCTAACCACTCAGCCACAGCCGCTCAAAGTTTCATAATGACCCTAAACATCTGTTCCAGAAAATTCTGAAGTAGAACATTATGACCATGATAAAGCCGATTTAATTTGTCTTTGATGCATTACTTTTAATCTCATTCCTCCTTTAGCTTTACACATATGCTAATATGGCTCTGCCCATACTCTCAGCACTTCCTCAAACTCTTTTTCAACTGTCTTGAACTAAATGAAAATTTTATTAAGTAAGCCAAAAGCAACAAACATAATTGATATAACAGCTAACTTCACTCACTAAGCACACCTTCATATATTTTTTTACACATAAGGCAGTTTTATATTTGGTTTATTTGTGCAGGACGTTGGCAGAGCTGCCTGGGGTCTCCAGAGAAAGATTCAAAGGATAAATGCTCAGCTAAAATGTTGAGAACTGTGTTTTTCTTGAACAATGTTGCAACTTGTAGACATGAG